ATTGTAAACAAGGCAAACACTTTGATTTTCCAGGGTGACCCAGGTTCTCTTGAGAAAGAATAGTGCAACAGATGAAATTAGTTTTGTAATAATTTAAAGATGATCTGATCATGTTTGGACTGTAGTTCCGAGCAAGAAACATCAGACACTGTAAATTGCAGATGCTTAAATATTTCATTCTGAATCAGTCATTGACAGCTTTCCATTTCTGAATATTTTAATAAGAAAACAGTCAGCTAAAAAAATATATTTCACCCTATAATTTTATAATAAATAGCCATATTTTTAGTTTGTCAGCTCACCCATGGCTAATTGTTGCCTAGGCAGATAGATATGATCTTGTATGATGTACTACTTTTCTCTCTTGTGCTCAGTGATGAGCTGAAAAACCCTCTTGATATAATAGGAACTGACACCTACATATTTATTACGGATGTGCAATTATACAGAGATCTACTGCAGACAGTTCGATTCCTAAAGCACCATTCTGTCAACTAGAGCACACGCTTGACCTGCTCACTGTCAGCCATATCTCTTTCCCAGTAAAATTCCTCCACCTGGTCTTCCTGCTAAGGTTTCCCCAAGTAAATAAAAAATGGTGAATTAGGCACAGATGCAGAGTCTTTAAATAAGCAGTCTACCAATTTCACACTGAAAATCCTTTTGCAGGCATATTACTGATGTTGCTCTTTCACATCTGTTGTGTTGGCTCCTCTTGGAGAGGACGGGGTTGATTTCTGTACTTGGAATTGGAGAGCAGCTAGGCAGCAGCATCACGGCTCATCAGTTCTGGTCATAAAGCAGCAACTCTGGTATTTTTAGCAGGAAGATTCACTCTGTTGATGCTCGGAGACGAGAGCTGGGGTGGTGGAAACTGACCCCTTCCTCCTGAGCCTCAAAGCTGCTTTGGAAAACGTCCTTAACCACCACTTGGCTGCCTCTGTTACATTCACTATATATTTTTTTCTGCCTTAAAAACTCTCTTTAGGTTTGTCCCTATCTAATAATGATGCAAATTAAACTAAAGGGTATACATTCAACAATAATAAACTTCTGTGATTCTGTTTTGTAGCAACCAATACTCAAAAAAATCTTAGAGATCTCACATAGTGCTGCAAAAATCTTAAAAGTTTGGCATTCATGTATGGAGTCAGAAAGGGGTCAAAATAATTGTATACTGGCACATCTTTATATAAAAGAATAGAATTGGAAATTGGGGAAAAAAAATAAAAGTTGAAAGCAAAAATTAACAAAAGTTTAGATTAAATACCACATTTTTACCCTGTATTCTGCAAAACTAAAAAGAAACATAAAATAAGAACTGAAGCTTCATTTTGCTTATCCGCTTAAGAAAATTCATATTTCACTTTAGTAATTTAATTACAATTCTATGGAGCCTGATCCATCTCACCAGGCCCACCTTTCATGTCCATGTAAAAAAAGAAACAATCTCACCAACAGCATAATGCTGCCACCACCATGGAATAGTGTTTGATGTGTATCTATTATTACTTTTCCATCACTTGTAAGACCCGCCAGAAAAAATGCAATTCCTTCCACCTTCTACATGATGGAAAAAATTAAACTAAAATTGCAAAAAGAAAAAAAAAGGGGTGTGAATACTATTGTACGGAACAATGCATCTAGTATTTACCATTTTCATCACAGGCATTTCTAAAAAAAAAAAAAAAGAACAATGCCCAAAATGAGTCTGAATCTCCTCCTACATTGTTTCACGCAGGAAATAACCAATATTGATCGCATTCTGTGGATAAATGCAGAGCGCCTGTAGCCATCCAAATCCAATTGTAAAGAGTGAATTAACTGTGAAACAAGAGCATCTAGTTAGGTCCAAGCATCACTAATCAATACGCTCACTGAACAGATTAGAGGGGGATATATTATCCAAAAGAATCATACGCTGCACGACAATTAAACTGGAAGTGAAGCTTGCAGCCCACGCAGGCTGTCTGAGAAGGCGTTATTGATTTCTTAGAAAAGCTGATAATAAAGGCCATGTTCTAGCAGTTACTGCATTCCTCCATACTGTAAAACTCTGCTAAGGGAGGATATTTTATCAAAAAATTCTTGGAGTTTTCTTAAAAACTCTATCTTGTAGCAAAAGACTAAATAGCTCTATAACAAAATGTTAAAAAACATTTTAATACATTATATTTATATATATAACATTTAATTTTAATCTGCAGTATTGAATAATATATCTCTAGACTTTCTTAAATTTCTATATATTCTACTTTTTGACAAAAATTGAGACAATAAATATTTGATTTATTTTTAGTTGTAAATCATAATTTTCAGTAAATACATGAGGAAGTACTTTATATATAGTAAATGGAGTTTCATTGTCTGAAATTTGTAACTTTTTAAAATCTTAACTTTTTGAGCTGTAATTGTTTTCCTATTAGATGTAAAGCAAATTCCACAGAAGTGAGTGGTCCTAATGGAGACCAAAATCTGGGTTTAGGTTTTATTTATTTTTAAGTTCATGCATGGCTGCATAAGACATGTGATTCTATTCGTTTGTCTGGAGGACCTTTATACAAACATTATTACGCTTTGCAGCTGCTGTATCTTTGTTGTCTTGTAGGATGATGTAAAGTGCCTTCAGATGACGTGTTGTGAATTGGCGCTATATAAATAAACTGAATTGAATCTTTCAAGCATGCGTTTTTTTTTAAAGAATTTGGCCACAAGGTGGGTGCGACTACCATAATCATGTCCTCAAATGGGTAACTTTTTTTTAATAATCTGAAATGAGTTGGGGCTGCTGAAAAAATCTGAACTGCATTTGATAGAATTGCAAAGGAATCACACAACCTGTCATGCAAACTGCGTTAAGGTTTAATCTGATTTTAGGCTTTATAAACAAACTTTTTTTGAAAAATATGGTTGAATTTCCATAGATTTACAAAATTCCAGGAGAATCAAGGTTATCATAATGACCCTTCAAAGCTGAATCAGGGCTCTAGTTAAAATGCTCAAGCTTTAAAGTGCGCACAAAGGATTGTTTCATCTGACTGCCACTTTATTGCAGTATAGTTACACTGTCTCTAAAACAAACCTGAATGCGAGTTCATTAGCTGCTTGGTGCAGTGCATTAAGAATGTGAATCCTCTTATTCCAAAGGGTTGCTAAGTCCTTTTAACGTGTGGATATCATTGCTCTTGGATTTGTAATTCCCTGTCAAAACCACGCCGCCTTATATCACCTGAAAGCAATTAGGAGGGGTAACACCAGACAGCACAACAGTCAGGGTGAAAATCATAAATATTGTCAAGGTAGCTCTGGGTCAGTGTTCTTCTTCCAGCCTGATTACTCCTTGGCTGATTTCCTGCAGCATTAAATATTGATCGTTTCATCACTCATCACATTAGGTTTTGCCTTCAGGTGGAGTTTCTGACCCCTTTTTACCTTTCTCTGCTTTTTCATCCTTTGGCATCTTAAATGCAAAAATGCTGCTTTAGGTTTAACTCTAAGAGGGATCCCCACAGGTGTTTATCTGCAGAACGGAGGCCTTTTGGAAAAAAAAACATCTTTATTTAAAGAAAGATAGAGAAGCCAAAACTGGCTTCACTTTACTAAAACAAATACTATACAACACTACCACCACTTGGTCATCGTGCACACTACACCTTTATAGCAAGCTTATATTACAATTTATTTACACACTTCTGATGTGACCATTACATGAAACTGTGCACGACAGAATCAACATATTTACACACAAGGAAAAAATAACTACAGCTAAATGTCAAAAAATTAGAAGGATTCTTCACATTTTGAGTAGCAAATTACAGTCATTGGTATAGAGGAACAGCATTATCACAACAATAAATGTTGAGCAGAGATATGATCGGAAAAAAACAAAAAAAATCACAACGGTGTTATATGATACATCTGGTTCTGACATCAAGTTATTTTAAAAAAGTACCTGATTTTTGTCATCCGAAATTATACCTTATAAAAACAGACAGTTAAGGAATCATGACAGGCAGCAGTTAAAAAAAATAAAATAAAAAATTACTCCCATTGCTGAGAAATTCATCCTATAAATTCTGTGCAAATCATCATTTATCACACATAAAACTAAAGACATTAGACTGAACAAATCAGTCAGGACAGGCATAATGACATTGAAGTAAGACGAGGCCAAGAAAAATAAATATGATTTTTCGAAGATATTCAAAAGATGTAATATTTAAAACAAAAAAAACTGATTCCCGGATTTGAGCAGTTCAAGTTCAACAGACATGCACAGCCAAACCGTACATGAAGGAATCAATTCAGAATTGCCTCGTGTCTTTGGAACAGACCATATCAATATGTTAGGAAAATCTGTTTTCACGCAACATGCAACTCAAACTCTACTGTACCGCTCTCCGAGTTGGAACATCCAAAGTGCTTAATCCCTCAACCATATAATATTAATTTAATATCACCCATATTACAAAACGATTTTTGTTAAAATTAAGACGTTAGTAACATGGTCAACTATCAATTAATGCCCAGACTGCAAAGTTTAAATTAAAACTCTTTGATATGGTTTGAGGAAAGAAATAAAGGTTGAAAAATAATGAAAAAAATTGGATTAGGCAAATAATCATTTCATCATGCACTTAAAAATAAAAGTTTGGCTTAATCCTGGACAAAGTCATTTATAAACCCGAGGGTTGAACTGTTTTTATCAATGTTTGGGCGATTTACTTGTGCTGAGAAATAAAAAAAAAAGAATAACAAAACCAATCAGCCAAAATTTCTCAAGGGAAAAGATAAATCTGCAAAAAGAAGCAAAATGTACGGAAGCCAGTTTCTGCCAAAAAAAAAAAAAAAAAAAAAAGCCAACACGTACGTTTTAAATTTTTACTTAGTAATCACATCTATCTGACAACCTAAACAGGTTTGCATCAAATCTAGTTTAAGTATTTGGTTTTTTATTGATAAAAAAAAGTAAACCAATTTTGTTAGCTAAATAATTTGCCAAGCTAAATTAGCATTTCAAAGTTTTAGCCTATTCCAAATGATGCAATTAGTAACTTCATTTTATTTGAGCTTTTTTTTCAAGGCATGGACTGGGTTTATATTCTGAAGTTCTTGCATCATTTTATTCTTTTATAAAATCAAAAAGGAAAAAGAAAAATGAGCAAAAAACATGCCACAAATGGACCATAACCAGTATTTTATCAAAGGCGTGTTGGGCAGAAACAACTTTACAAACAAACTTTTAGTATCTTGGTCCTGTCATCTGCAACATCTGGAAACTTCCCCCACACAAACACACTCGCACAACCAAAATGACCTGCACTGCATTGTTGTGACAAACAGGACATCATGTCAACACACAAGATATGATCACAGTTATTAATGATGTTGGAAGAAATTTTCAAGGCTTTGATTACAAAACGATGCTGAAGACTAACCACATTTATTTAACACAAAAAACAACACTATGCATAGATGTTGCCCTCCTGGATCCAGATCCCAGAATGAATACAAAAGAATAAATCATATTTTCCTGACTGACATCAGGCCACTGTAACTCTAGAAGACATTTTAAAGGCCTTCCTGTTTTGCGAATTGGTGTTGACCTAAAATATCAGTAACTAAGTTCACCTGGAAAAAATAACATCCAATTTGGTTTTCCTGATGCAGATCACTTATGGGCAGCAATAGTGGACCAACATCAACCTTGAGTGAAAAAAGCTAACATGTAGACTGGATGTCTGTCGACACCAGAGAGCAGCTGTTAGTGTCCTTCCTCCAAGCAGTTTTTTGCTTCCCAAATTTTCACTGTGCGGTCACTGTTGTATAAAATAAAAAGAAAAGCACAAAAAGATTTGATAATAAAGTACATGAGATGAAGAGAACATTGCATTTATATATAGGAATCCCTCATGAGAAAACATTTTGTGACTTACTCAGAGGCTGTGAATAGTTGGGTACTGTTGGTTGCCAAGCCATTGATGGGACTGTCATGCCCCTGGACCTCACCAAGGGGTGCCAGTGAGTCGGTATGCCAAAGGCGAAGCAGCCCTCCTCTGCATCCCCCGAGGAGCACTGGGGAGCCTGGAACCACGCCCAGAGCACTAACCCAGTCTGTCTGTGTGCTGACTGACTATTAGGCGACAACAAAACCCACTATTAAACCTGGATCACTTCTACGCTTCAGAAATCAAACTACATCGTCTTACCTGTACAAACTTTTTACTTCCCATGTCCCACTTCTTTATATAATAATCTCTGGAGCTGCTATAGAAGACGTCACCATGAATAACCAGAGACTCCACGGCGTCCTGGTGGGCGGGTTCAAACGTGTAACTAGAGCTGATGCTGCCCTGTGCACCTTCAGTTACTTCAAACATCTGGAAAGACAGACAGGTTTATCCCTTACATAAGTTATCTGTTAGCCAGAATTTTACAATGGGGTTAACAGAAAGTGGTTCCTGACATGAAAAAGTGCTGCCTTATATTAGGTAGAGATGAATAATAAAACACCTTTGGTACTATGGAGGACAGAGAGATGATAACAAATCGGAGGGAGGCTACCTTCCCGTTTATAAAACCGTAATAAAGAGAGAGCAAAAATTAGAACCATTGAAGCCTTATAGCGCTGGAAGGCCATACATCTTCAAAAGAAAAGCAGCAGTCAGCCAAGTGGAATAAAAGAACAGTTTGAAACAACATGGACAAAATATTGCACTTGAGCACCAAACATCAGAGGTAGAGATAGGGCTGATTTTTTTTCTTGCATTACGACATTGCTAGATCTTAAATGAACTAAAACTTAACCTAAAACCTATCCTGTGAAGTGGTGAGTGTGAGCTATGATCACGGACAACCATTTTAAAGGCAAGTTCTTTTATCCTAGTGTCATATTGAATTTATGCTATCGATTCTTAAATTGAAGAAAGACAGGAAAAAATTCTTTAATCGTCTTGCTGGGATGACTTTCATAGACTTTAGGTAAGGCTGGCTGACAACTTTTTCACATAAAGGCATTTTGACATAAAGGTATTAAAGAATACCCTAAACCCATTTTTACCCTATGGATGGCCCTAATTATTGGTATCAGGAAAGCAAAGACAAAGCGTTTCTATTTACATTAAACAGTGATTGAAAGTTCTTACTTTGACATAGTGGTCTTTTGAGCCAGTGAGCACGGTGTCCTGTCCATGGCCCGTCTTTTCGACTGTCAGACACATCACAGGCCCCAAATGGCCTATTAGCTTTCCAGTAGAGACAAACCTTAAAGGATAATTTAATTAGTTCTCTGAAAAAATCCTGCAAATGGAGTAATTATCAACTCAAATAAATATGGGCATGACCCCAGCTTTTAAAATCCAATGTGTGGAAGCTTACTTGCGGAGGTCCCACATGCGGATGGAGTTCCCAGCCGCAGCGTACAGAAACGAGCCGGAAGTGTTGAGGGCGATCTGGTTTATCTGACTCTCTCCCGGTGGGATAGATAAACTTTTAGCAGTGGAGCATGTATCCCCTGACCCCACTTGGCCTGATGACCTGATCATCACAAGAGCATGTTCTAACTAGATCCCTTATGGTTAATTGTGTTTGCTTTTACACAAGTTTCTGTACTTACGTCAGTGTACGGATACACTTAGCGGAGTCTCGAATATCCCAGACTTTGATGTAGGCAGAGGAAACAGTGAGGACAAGGCTGGAGGTGTACCTATGATAAAAACAAAATACCCAATAAAATAATCATTTAAGAGAATATTAGGAATAATATCAACTTAACCCTTTATAGGGCACTCAGTGAAAGACTTTAAATATCTAAATTTCAATCAAAGAGTGCACTGCAAAAAAATGAAATCTAACTCAGTCAATTTTTCTTAAAATAGGTGCATTTTTTCTTGAATTCAGCAGGTAAGTGAGACACTTTGCAAATGAAATAAGAAAATTTACGTTTTAAATAGAGTCGCCTATTTCAAGTGCATAATATGAAATAATCTAATTTTAAGGATAAAAATGCTCCTACTGGGAGATTTTCTTATTTACCTACTCAAATTAAGGGTAAATACACTTATTTTAAGACATTTACACAAATGTATAGATCATTTTTGCAGTGTTATTGGAATCCAGGACAAGACCGTATTACCTCTGTAACATTCAAAATATATGTATATTTTCATGACATAAATGAATGTCAATGTAATAACAAGAAATGCCAACTTGCCTGCATATATTAAGAAAAATAACAAGAAATTTATGAGAAATACATTTTTTTTTAGGTACAACATAACCTTAGAGGCTTATTAACCTTTTAACTTTACTTTTTAACTTTTCAATTACCTTTTTAACTTTTTTCTTGACTTGTTAACTTTTTTTATCTTAATTCACAGTATGTAATATATAACATGTAAAGGCTCATCTAATTGGTCAAAGGCCAAATTAAGATGTACAGCCGTGTAGCAGCATCGGGGGGACTCCATTTCTAAGGGGTATGCAAGTGATCAAAAATGGTAACTTGGCCTATAAAGGGTTAAGTTATTTCTGAACAGTACCTGACTGAGACGACACTATTGGGATGATCTGCGAGAGACATGATCTCCTGGCCCGTCACCAGATTCCAGACCTTACAAGTCCGATCTGCGAAAAAGATTTGTAAACAAATGCATTCAATGAAAAAACTAATTTGCCATCCAATTTTGAGTCTTTACCTTTAGAGCCAGTAAAAAGTAGGTCATCTGTTGCATCCACGCAGAGAACAGGTTTGGTGTGGCCCTCAGCTACGTGGACGCACTGAATCCTGGAGCCCCGACTGTTCTTAGGAGCCGTCACAGGATTGATCACACCCCTAGAAACATGGCACAGAATAATGCAATTGTTATTTATCATTTCCATTACAAATTCACCAACCAATAACCTGCAAATTGAAACTGCAGAGTTGGAAGATCATTTTCCCTGAATTTAATAATGTGCTACTTGCAGCTGAATGTTATATTTTTCATTCAGTTCTTCGGAATTGAATAGTGTCAAGAAGCTCATAAGTGAATAAAATGATTGGAATAAATTACCTGTTTCCTTCAAATACAGGCGAATCATCAAGCCTGAAAAAAAGGAACAAAAAACCCAGAATAGTCAAATATAGAAATGTAGGGAACCTTTTTAGCTAACAACACAAAGCTGCTATGCTGTGAGATGTAAATAACTGACTAGTGTATGATGCATGTTTTTATATGTTTGATATGATTTAATTAATCTAAAAAAATATTAATATGTGAGGTAAATTGGGGAAAAAAATGTTTTTGAGAGAGATAGGAAGTGCATTAGCCTTAAAGGACACTAAAGAAAAGTTTTAGGGAATATCATTTCATACCTTTTTATACTAATCTTAATTTAGATCAAATTTGAGTATAATTATATGTTAAAAAAAAGTTTGAATGAACATTGGTGACAATCCCAGACATACAGGGCTGTCAACTCTCACCCTTTGGGAGTGAGACTCACCCATCTCAGTGTCTTCATACACTCTCACTCCATATTCCAAATTTCTCATACTAAAAAATGACCGACATGAAAACTCAACTCCGTTCCACTTATTTATGTATAAAATACCATGGTGATCAAAATCCAATCCGTGTTTTTAATACAACCTTAGTGCTAACACACAAGGCCTTGCCAGGTTCATATCTAGTCCGTATTCCCACCTATTCACTGTGCCAGATATTGTAAAACAAAAAAAAAAAAAATGTTCCACATAACTACAGTCCACTTATTGTTACTCAGTAACATTTACTGTGCTATAAAAATCCCACATTTTGCCACTTTGCTTCAGTTAAATCATCTGAAAACCTACAACCTTTAGCTGTACCTAACCTCATCTAACCCTGACAGGGTTTCCTGTCCAAACTATTTCAAAATCTCCCCCTAAGGTCTGGTGAAAAACCTTGGGGGGGAGGACAGATACAGATACTGACAAGTTGCAGGCTACATAAATGTGGAGGATGGCTAAAAGCACAAACAATAATGTTAGTCTGAGCAATAGAAGTTTTTACATTGATTTGTATTCGCTGCCTTTAGTTTTAGTTTCTGCGGGGCCCGCTGGAGGTGTCTGTGCCGGGGCTGCAATGGGAGGCACAGTGGGGCCTTTTTCCAGCACCTTCCGGCGGTTCAGAGGTGAGCCCTCCAGCTGTTTCCTCTCCACTCCCGTAGGCGACCTAGATCCTGAGCTAAAGACAAGACCACTCATCAGCTCATATAGTATAAATGCTCATTCATCCCCACAAAATCAGTTTGAGGGGTCCTTGGACACATTTTCTAGCAGGAAAAAAAAAAAAATCTTTTCCAGCAAGTTCTCTAAATCCCCAGTTTGTTAATTTGACAAAAAAAATACGGAAGTTCACCGTCAATTTTTACTTTTACTTTGAGAAAACAAGGAAGGAAAAAGGAGTGATGGGTGGAAGGAAGGGGGGAAGGATGGCAGAAAAAGGAAAAATTTATTGAATAAGGACATAAGGAAAGAAACCAAGGAAGTAAACAAGGAATAAAAGAAAGGACAAAAAAAAAGAAAATTTAAGAAAAGAGAAGAAAGAACAAATCGTATAAAACAATGAAGGACACAGCCAAGACTGGACACAAGAAAAGAAAGAAGGAAGTTAAGGAATTGACGAAGCAGACAATGAAGGAAAGAAGGAAAAAACAAAAGTGGGAAGGTTAGATAAAAGAATATGAAATTAACAAAGCACATTAAGAAAAAGATCTAGGGGAGAAATGAACTGTAATATAGAATAAAGTAAGGGCAGAGGAAGAGACAGATAGTGATTAAAAAGAGGAAGGACACAAGAGAGTGAAGAAAAGAAGGTCAGAGAGAAGTAGGGACAAGGGATTGTTGGACAAAGTTATGGAAAGAAACAAAAGACATAAAGAAGACAGCATAAAAAGATGGGGGCCAGCAGGACAAAGACAAAGAAGAAATGCATAATTTAGGTTATAATTCAAGACTATAAATGCAAATATTTTTCCATTTTCTTGATTTTTCCCCCCCAAATTAATTCCGACCTAAAAATGCAGAAATCATGTTTTCCCTCAGACTGAACTCTGCCTCTTTGAGATTTCTGGCTTCCTTGGAGAAATATTTTCTCTGAACTTACAAGCCAGCTGGCCTGGCAGACAGCGCAGATGGTGAGACCGTTCGCTCGTGGTCTGGGGCTTGACCAGCTGGGTGACCCCACATGTCTGCCGGCCCTCGCTCCGCGAGGGGCAGCAGAGGAGACGGGAAGTCTCCGGTGGGGGACTCGCAGGCCAAATCTCCACTGCTAGCATAGAGCAGCTCCATCTGGGTGGTAGTCCGCCTTCGAGCCTGAGGGGCCAAAACAGGTTGAAATAAAAATAACTCCAATTACCAAGAGCTACTTATAAACACTTTAAAATAACTGTTTTAATTCTAAAGATTAAACACAGAGAGAAATGAACGATAATCTACCTTTCCTCTTGGTTTGGACTCGCCACACAACTTCATCAAATCTGATGACATTGTGCTGAAAAAGAGACATTTCATCAGTTAGAGAACTGCTCATATAAAGCTGTTTATTCCCTTTATTTCAGTATCCTAAAATAGCTTAGGTCTTTCCTCCTCTTCACCATCTAATTTTCAACATTAAAACCTAAATATTTAATTTTATTGTATACCGGTAATTTACTGATTTTTTTTTATCACTAAGCATCACTTAATTGTTAGCAGGGTTATTTAGCACTTTTAGTAACAAAAGACTACACAGGGCCCACTTCTTATAGATTATAGATTATAAACTGAACTTTTGGTAAGATTCTGGACATTAGAGTGAAAAATAATCATAGAACTTAGATGAGCTCTGGGTTTCTAGATATAGAACTCTAGATCAGACTTCATTAAATTGACTCTTTAGCAAGATGAACTGCATCAGTGAAGTCCCAATAGTGCTGCCAATAAAGAAGATTGTGTGTTTTCTATCCTAGTTCTTTTAGAATAAAGACATCCTAATGGTCTTATCTGGCGCTCAGGAACTATATGAATCCTTTGTTTGACAGGACGTATATGAAGAGGCCACTTAACAGAATTCGCAAAAATACATTATTTCTTTTTGTTTTTTCTGAGTGGCCCATGAAAATATTAATAACTGCATATGTTAGGTGTTGGCTCTTTGCTGCATTTGTGTAACTTCTGTTTTTTGTTTTGTTTTATATAAAAAACGCTACAGTCCAAGTTTGCAAATGATCCTCTATGTGTGTTTCTTTTGTTTAACCCTTTATTTGCCACTAAGTGAAATCCATAGTGTTATTGGAATCCAGGACAAGACCTTATTACCTTTGTAACATTTTGATGGCAAATAACAAGAACACCAACTTGCCCAAATATATTAAGAAAAATAACAAAAATAAGTGCTTCTATAAGAAATTCATGAAAAAACACAAAGAAACATTTTTATTTTTTGGTACAACATAACCTTAGAGGCATTAATGCTGATACTGTTAGTTTAGTTTATAAACCTTAATATAATTGTTAACTAGGCTTAGTAACTTTTTTACTTTACTTTTTAACTTTTCAATTAGCTTTTTACCTTTTTTTTTTTACTTTTTACCTTTTTTCAATTTAATTTGTAGTAGGTAATATATCATTCAAGTGTTCATCTAATTGGTCAAATGCCAAAATAAGATGTACAGCCATGTAGCAGTATCGTTGCTGAATGGCTGGATATAGATATTGTGCTTCTAAATCTCACTGAGGGATGGAGGCGACATTTGTAAGGAGTATGCATTTGAGTAGAAATGGTAAATTGCCCTATAAAAGGTTAATAACACCTGAAAATCTAAAAGTCTGGAGCTGTTTTTTGTTTTTTTAAATGATAATTCTTACTGTTGTCTCCATGAAAGCTGAAAGAACAGGGTCTAGGAGCTGCAGTTGTTAAATTTGAAATCAGCCTTTGACTTATGTGGCAAATCAAAAAAGAAAAAAAAAAAAATATATATATATATATTTTATAATTTATTATTTATTTAATAATAAATAATAGATTTTTTACCCAGAGTTCTGCACCATTCAAATATTCATTAACATTAGCAGGGGTCTTGGGAACCCGACTCCTTTAGAACAGGATCTAGCCCCTGTACTGAAAACATACACTGTAAAAACTAAAATCTAGTTGAGTCAAATGTTGACTTGAATTAAGTGTATTGAGCAGTTCAGTAAGACAATTAGCCAATCTAATAGAATAATCTAAGTTAAAATTATATTAAAAAAAAAAATTCCATTAGCTTATTTCAAGTAGATCATATTGAATTATGAAAAAAAACACCCATTCCTTTGGTAAATCATCTTGTTTGCCTGCTCAAATTAAGTGTAAATGCGCTGATTTTAAGAAACGTTTGCTTTTTTAAACCAGCTTTGGTGGAATTAATAGTATAATTTCTTATTATGAGTATATGCACTGACTAACTGATTGATCCCTTGGGCCAATTTAATATTTCGCCTTTCCTAATTTACTTTCTAATTTACAATTAGAATCAGCTTTAGGCTCCAGTCATATTAAGAAAAGATGATAGTTAAGTCTTGGTTAATTGTTAGAGTCTGTAAACTTGATTTTGCAATAGACTTAAAGGGGAAATCTGTTATTTGTTTTTGTTTGTCATTCTTTTGTTTTGTGCCCCCATTGTAAAAAAAGAAAAGGAGAAAAAAAAAAAAAAAAAGGAAAAAAAACCCTGGCCCCCAGCCTGTCCATAGTTTTCTACCTGCCATCTGTAGCTGGACATTGTGTAGACTCGTCGCTGCTGCTGCAGTCCCCGTTTTCTGCAGCTGGAAGGAATAAGAACACATCCGTAAAGAGTCAGTTTGTACCATTTTTACATGCATCCATTCAAAAAAAAAAAACAATGTTATCTTAATTAGCTTAGAACAAAGTAGAAGGTCACAAAGGTGAAGACTTATTATTAGGTGTGGGATGAGGGGAGAAAGCGTAAGTGAGAAAAAGTTCAACCACAGAACAGCAGAACAAACACACATTGCTTTGGACACAGGGGAGCATCTGTAAAGTTTTAGTCCTGAAATGGGACTGACCAGGAGGTGACCGAGGAGCCATGCACGTTATGGCGGAGTTACTTGACGTGGGTTAGTCTAATAAAGATGCACACTTCAAGATTTCCTCCTTTTTTTGTTCGTTTTCTTTTTTTTTAACAAAAGTTTTACTTTTCCTTAAATTTTGTGTCTACTACAACTAAAATAAGGGAAAGTGAGGTATAAATAGAAAAAAAATAAAATAAAATCCAAATGAATCAATAAAAACAAACACTGATTAATACATTTGCACGTCTGCACTCTCAATAGAAAATCTCTAATATCAATGGTTACATCCCTAACTATATTGCTCCTTCCTGTTTATTCAAATAGATCATATTTGCTGGATTAAAGCAGCCTCCACACTTATTGCCCCCCCCCCCCCCCCCCAATGGTTTCAATGAAATAAATGGAAGAATGACCAATCTGTGACCTTTGACCTCATATCTCTTTATCGTGTAGAGGCTCGTTTTTCTGAGCCGATCTTCAGTCGATGTAAGGCTGTAAAAAGAGATTACAGCAAAGAGAGGCATTAAATGCTATTGGTTGTTTAAGAGGGCAGAAATTTGCCTTTTTTTGGCTTAACATAAAAAATGTGAACATGCAAAGTTTGCTAAAATTTTAAAGGTCTCCGTTTGTGAGAGAAAATGTTTAATCTATGTCCTCCGATTGAACCAAATACTTCAGGTTGGGTTTGAGATGAAATAAAGGGTGAATATGTGGAAAAGCAGCTCATACCCACAGTTAAGTATGGTGGGGTATCTGTGATGCTGTGGGCCTGTTTTCTTTAAAGGGCATTGGGAACCTTCTTACATCTATTTGAAGGATTTTTACTCATCTCTACCAGGGGATTCGGGTAGTTCTGTTTTTTTTTTTCTTTTTTAATGGAAATCATGTAGTGTGCACGTTCCGTACCCTGCTCTCTCATACACAGTCATGTGTCTACTCATGTCTCTCACTCACCTGGTAACAGGAACCCTAACTCTGAGATCACACCAACACAACAGAAGAAAAACAAACAGAAATTAAATCAAATCCAAAACCCAAAAGGTGAGAAATTGCCCGCGCTTTAATTTGCAAGGATCTCTTATTATTTTTCTCATTGCTTCTTAAGTTGATTCCTGCAAAGTAAAGCGCAGAGCTTTACTTTGGTTAAATCAAAGCTGATTGGAAAGGTGATTGTGCTGGGCGTGCGTAGGCTGCTATCGCCATTCGTTCGGCGTTTCCAACCTTGCAGGGCGCTGCCTAGCAGGGCGTCCAGCTCGGGGTTGATCTCGGCTTTTTCCTTCAGCATGTGGAAGAGCAGCTGGTTCTGGGTGGCGCTGTTTATCTCTGTCTGCTTCAGCCTCCCCTCCATCACTTTCAGCTGGGAGTCCTTCTGAGCTGCCTGCAGACCCTGATAATCAACACAGTGACAGTTAATAAAAAGGTTCACTGCCTCTTCTACTTTTGCCTGCTTCCTGGATCTGACAGGTTCTGTCAGAGCAATTAAGTTTCGTCGAATCCAATCTGAGACTTAATGTAATTAAATTGATTAAATTAAAGTCTCTCACTATTTTATCTAATAAACAGCCATGGATACAAGGACACAGGATCAAAGCATATACCGTATTTTCACGACTATAAGGCGCACTTAAACGTCTTGTTTTGTGCGGTGCGCCCTTTGGTGCGGTGCGCCTTATGTGTGTTGTAACTGCGACTTTTGAGACCACCTCATTGAGGAGATGATGAAAGAGTGGCTGAATGTAAGGAGACCAGGTGTTTTTTTTCCACTCATCACCATCGCTGTTAATATGTAACTCCATGCATGCCCATCTCACAGCTGATGTGAAAAACATGGGGAAACAAATTAACGCTGTGCTCGCTGTTCAACCGCTCGACATCGGTGTGAACCGGACCCAGCAGGTGCAGCAGAAGCAGAGAGTTTACATGCAAAGTCAATGGTTGACGCGCGTATAGGTGCAGCAAAAGGTCCCGCAGCGCGTTTTGAGCAGCAGGCGCAGCGCGTCGGGAGCGTTTAAGCATCTGACGCACCGCCAACGCGCTGCTGCTGCTCGAGATGGAAAAATTGAAGTTTTGCTGCTGGACGCGCCGCATCAACCAATCAGAGAAGCTGATCTGGGAGCTGACAGCGAGACAGACGCAGCGCTCTGATGACATATGATATTAACGCAAATGAAAAAGGCTAGATGGATGAGGAGATGATGAAAGCGTGGCTGAGGCAGGTGTATGTGAGGAGACCAGGTGGTTTTTTCCACGCATCACCATCGCTGCGTGTCCATCTCACAGCCGATGTGAAAAAAAAAGGTGAATCAAATGAACGCTGTGCTCGCCGTTATCCCGGGGGGTCTGACAAAGGAACTTCAACCGCTCGACATCGGTGTGAAGCGGCCGTTCAAAGTAAGGCTGCGAGCGGCGTGGGAGCGATGGATGACAGACTGAGACCACAGTTTCAGGATATGTGGAAGGCAGCGCCGGGCAAGTTAAGCCACCGTTTGCGGATGGATTGTAGATGCTTGGACTAACGTGTCTGCTGGCTCTGTTGTTCAAGCTTTCGCAAAAGCCGGCATTATTTCTGAGGAGCCGCGCTGCACGGAAAGTGACTCTGACAGCGAAGAATGGGAAACTGTCATGTCTGATTTAGCGCAGCTGTTTAATTCAGAAACAGAGGATGATGACTTTGATGGGTTTGATTAATACTTTGTAATAAATACATGAATAAAGCACAAACATACTCAGTTTTGCTCCCGCTCTATTTTTCTACCTGAAAACTTAATTCAACAGCAGCCTCTGGGCGGGTCTCCTCTTCACCGCGGTGGCTGGCAGGTGTTTTTTCATCTAAATAATCTAAATCTTGCAGCTATATTTGCTGTGATCAGTGGGAATAAAGTAGTTTTAATATGTTTTTAAGTGAGAAAGTCCACCTGAAAACTTAATAATTGCAGTCAGTTCATCCAGATTATTATCGTGCCTATACTATTTCTGTCGGAGGCACTCAGACCCCCACATACCAGCGGTGCACCTATATAATTTTCATCTAAATAATTTAAACTGCAGGCACCAGGATACCGGCAATAAGAGCGAACATATTCCGTCAGCAGGTTTCAGGATTTTAAGTTAATTTAGGAGTGATCACAGCGCTGTGTCATCTGCGATGTGTCTGTCTCACGGCCAGCTCCCAGGTTTGATTAATACTTTGTAATAAATACATGAATAAAGCACAGTCATACTCAGTTTTGCCCCCGCTGTATTTTTAAATACGCAGTAGAGGTATTTAAAGGTAGTAGAGGACATGTACCTGTATATAAAAAACGTGCCCTATAGTCCAGTGCGCCTTATGTGTGTGTTAAATACAGAAATGGCACACATAACTGAGACTGCGCCTTTTAGTACGGTGCGCCTTATGGTCGTGAAAATACGGTAAGTTGGAGTGGATTAGATAAACATCAGCCATGAATAAAGTCAAATTTTTCAGTCAAATTTTGCAGACCAATACAGTTGGAGGAGCATGAGTCAGTGGAAATCAGCAAAATAGAAAAATAAAGCCTTTTTCTACCGGTATAATAAAAAGTCTAATAAATGGTTTGCACAAGGTAACTACAATGGTGAACCACTAGGTGGCGCTTTAAGCAGTTCCTACTAGACTCATAACTATTTCCTCAGACCTTCTTTCCAAATTACTTAATTTTGGGAGGTTCTTTAATTTCATTTCCTAATCCGAAGTTAATAATGTGAAGCTTTTTTCTCTCTGGGTTAGTTGAGACCGCTTATAATACTGACTTATAATCTATAAACCTTATTCGGAGAGATATGTGCCCTAATAGTTAATACAGCTGGACAGCAGCTAAATCATTGAACTCTCTGAAACATTTATGATGAAAGAAGATAATTAAAGTGGGATCTGGGAGGTTTAAACAGTTTGAGGATTCAGTTTTCATATCTAATCAGACAGGTTACTTTTCACGTTGTGTTAAAATCCAAATTCAGGATTATCTTCATGTAAAAAAACTGACTGGAGGAGAAAGATGTACCTTGTTGATCGCCATGGAGACAAAATGGTCCAGAAGGAAGCGGGCTTCTGATAGGCTGCAGGAGCTGATGACGGCAGTGATGTCCACGGTGTCTCCTTCCTCCTGAATCCCAGAATAAAAAATGGTGTTTGTTAGAAACCTTTAATTGAACTATTTATCTGAACCCCATATATGGTTTAGATAGAGTCCCCACAGCATAAACTGAATTGATTCCCTCCTCTCACCTTGGCCTCCTCCATCTGCATAATGTTGGCCTGGCATTCGGCGATGCTGTCGTTGATGTAGTCGATGTTAGCGCCTAGTGACTCCAGCTCCTCGTTCAGGGAGGCTAGAGAGCGGTCGGCATCAGCGCCGTCCGCCGCCAGCTTTTCTCTCTTCCTGGACACGCGCTCCCGCCGCCGGGTCAGCTCCTCCCTTTGCTGAAAAGACGGCGAGATAAATAAACTGTGTCCTGTTTTCTTTCATGTTTTAGGTATCAAGCTCTAAAATGTATCAGTTCCTAATTATTTCACTACTTGGCGTCCGTCTGTTACCTTCAGAAGTCGGTTCATGTCTGCCTCCATGTTGGAAATGGTCATCCTCTGCATTATGATGTCACTGACACGTCTTTCCAGAGACTGCCACTTTGTCCTGGCCGTCCTGTTCAGGTAGATGCTCCCCATCCTCATGGTGGAGCTCCTGGAAGGGGAGGTGACTCCATTAGAGCTGCTGAACTCTTACCGCTGCTGTGAGCTAGGTGACGTGACGAACCTCGCTCCATTGGACGGGTTTGCTCCGGACGTCCGCGGCCGCCCGAGGTTCCCTCTTGATGAAGCTTCCAGAGCTGACTCCGGTGAGCTCAGCTTCCTGCTCACCTTTCCAGACACTGGTCTCACCTGTCGCCTCAGAGCCGTCACCTGCAAACAGTGAAAAATAAAAATGTTTAAAGATTCCTTTTCTTACACAAATGAGTTTTTAACTTGCCTTTCTTAAATACAGGCCTTACCTCCTCATTCTTCCTGCGAAGGATCAGCTCCTGTTGTCTTTTCTGGGCCTCCAGCTGCCTCACTTGAAGCTGAAACATGAAATAAAAAGTTGAGTTTTGAAATATTCTTGTCTTTTTTCCAATCACACAGATCATCTCTCAGTTGCTCCTGCCTCTGCTCTGCGCTGGTCCTTCTTCAGAGTAGCGATCTCTCTGTTCCTCCTGCACTCTGTTGCCCTACTCCTCTCCTGCTGCTCCTTCATCTGACGCATCAGCGCCACCTGGTGGAGGAACACAACAGGATAAACTATCCCACCTTTTAAAGGCTTATGGAATTGTTGGTTTTAAACTAAGATAGGGCTTTACTTTAGTCTTCTTCATCTCGTTGACATCCTGCTGGAGCTTCTTCAGCTGCTTCTCGTACTGCGTTTGGTTCTTTAGCAGGCGGGCGTGCTCCTTCTGCGCCGACTGGAGCTTCTGCAGCTCTTTGTTCATGCTGCTCAGCTTTCTCTCGTACTCTGCCTTAATTTTTTTGGCTTTCTCCTCAGTGCCCGATTCAACTGAGCCTGGTGATGCAAGGTTAACTGTTCTTTAAACACTGTTTGCTTAGGTCGAGTAAAACACCCAGGTTCTGTGTTACCCATGTTGTGCAGAACTTTGTCCCTCTCCAGCTGCGTGTCTCGGATCTTGTTCTGCAGCATCATCAGCTTCTGCTCGTACTGCTGCTTGAGGGTGTGGAGGCGCCGCTGGCTGTTCTCCAGCTCATCGATCAGCTTCTGCTTGATGGCGATCTCGCACGTGATGTTGGCCAGGTCAGCCTGCACGTTTTCTGCACGTTGAAGTTCAAAGCTCACCGTCAGATCCGCTAACATCATGCAGGAGCCGCTTGCTTCATTGCAAGTTCATCTCACCTTTCTCATCCAGCTCGTCTGAGTCTGAACCTTCAGACGACTCCTCTCCTTCCATATCGAAGTCATCCTCTTCTCCATCTGCATCTTCTCCGTCTTCATGCCCACTTGCTTCCTGCAGAACATGAAGGAAAGCATATAATGTCCCATAGATAAGAGTGATGCAGGTACCCTGTTGAAGCAGCAGGGGGCGCAGTTTTACCATTGTATTGATATTTGCCCTTCTAAATTTTGATATTAATAATATATTCAAATGTTTTTTTTTGCTAAGAAATGCATAGAAAAGAGGCTAATAAGAGCAAATATGTTTTTATGAAAAAGAGCCAACATTAATTTATTACTCTTAAAGGCTAATCAAGATTATTTATAAAATTAAGAGAAAAAGCTGCCAAAACAACAAACAACAACAAATGTTTAGGTGTGGTTAAAAATAAGCATACCTTATATCTCAAAACGTAAAAAAAAAAATCATTAAGAAATAATCAATAAAAGCAAAGGACTGCAGAAATAAAACAATCAGAGCTTCTAAGGAGGTGCCACCTACCCCCTCTGCCTCCTCGTTGCTTCTCTCCTGATCGTTGTCAGGGAGCTCCTCCTTGACAACACTGGGGAAAAAAAGAACTGCTTAAAGATTGGTTCTATTCTGTTCTGTATTCAACATCAACAGATAAAGGAGACATGTAAACAGTCAGAGACTTGATCAGGTTAAGGTCAGATTGGTGAGGATTTGACAAAGATGGAGTGTTAGATGTAATCGCTTAGATCATCATGAATGACACCACAGCAGGAAAACAAAGCTGACTGTTATTCATCTGGAGTCAAAACTTTCATATTAATGCAACAATCGAGGCTTGATCAGAGGGTATTAGAGTACAATTAACAAGCAACAACTAGACACATTTAGAAACTCTGTCTCGCTATAGGGGCACAAACCACCTGCAGGGACAGAAAAGGAGGTTACTGTTAATTTAGGGAAATGTTAGAAGGAGGATCTGGGACGACGATGAGGTAAAAATCCTGTCTGTTAATCTGGATAATCTCGCTTTTGAGCGATTCTGTCAGATTCTGTTTTGTAAAGCAGACCTGGCCAGCTCAGCCTCAGGGTGCTGATTCTCCTCGTACCGTCTCAGCCTTTAGAGAGAGAGTGGGGAGGGAGTGGGTGAACGTGGAGAGGGCGGGAGTGAGAACAGGGAAATTAACAAGACAGCAGAGGGACAGAGAGACGAGATAGAGCAGCTACAAGGCGTTGCAGCAGACAAAAGGAGTTTCGGTCTTTAATACTGGTAGCGAAACCCTGCAAACTTGATCAAAGAAGCCGTACTGCACCTTTTCTTCTTCTTCTTCTCCATCTTCTTAAGCTTCTCCAGGTTTTTCTTGGCCATCTCGATGACGTCACTGGCCTCCTTCTCCGGGGCGATCAGGGCGGAGGAAAAGGAGCCTGGGCCGCCGTACAGCGATGAGCGGGCCGACGCCCGAGACAGGCTCTTTCTCAGATTCTCATTCACAGCTTCGCTCTCGAGAAGCTTCGCTCTGGAAGACGCACAAAGACCTGTCTGAAAACCTGAAGCTCAAAGTAAATTAGTTCAGTTAATGGCAATAATAATAAAAATATATTTTTATACTGACCGTAGCTCCTCGATTTCTTTAATGTAGTTCTGAATCATATTCCCAATTTCTTCACTCCCTTCACCTACAAACAGATGAGGTACCATTATGCCCAGAAACTTGCCTTTAACAGCTTTATATGTAAAGAATATGGATGTAGAAATCATCTATCTACTCTTTGATCACATACCCAGCGTCTGAAACTATGACTCCCACCTGCTTTAGCGAGGACCTGGCTGGCCTGCTCACTGAGGAGCTGCGTCAGCCGCATCCTCTGTGCATCAATAGTCTCTTGCATAGCCTTCACTCTCACTCTCAGGTTGTTGTTCTCCGTCTGCAACATTGAGTTCTCATAGACCAGATCATTGATGCCCTCCACACCATCTTCCCCCAACACACGTTTCCCCTGTGCATCAAGGCAGATCATCAGTCAGTCTCTGTCCTGCTTTATCTCCTTCGGTATATCGGAGCCTTCATATTCCTACCGTCTTGTACTCCATCAGCTCCATCTGCAGCCGGGCTATCTCCGTCCTGAGGGCACTGATCTGCTGGCTGGCTCTGTCCTGGTTCACCATTACCTTGTTCTTGATGTTTCGGGCCCTGTTGGCATACTTTAGGGTGTTCAAGGTCTCCATGAAGTCTCGGTCAGATGGGCTGATGCAGGCGATCATGACAGTTTGGCTTAAAAAAAAGGAAAAAACAGAAATGAGGATCCATGTTTCCTGGATGAAATGTCTCTCTCCAGTAATTGGACCCACAAACCTGTTGCCGCCTAGTGAGTCCTGTAAGAGCCGGGTGAGTTTGGAGTCTCTGTAAGGCACGTGGGTGGAGCGTTTACTTCGGTCCCCCAAAGCACTGATGACATTTCCCAAGGCAAGCTGAGGAGTTCAAAAATATATTTTTTTTTAAATGTAGCGCACTTCCTATTCTAACCACCAGATGTCTCTGTTGCTCTATTTCTCTTCTCAAGTCAACTGAAGTCAACTTCCTCACCAGTCCACAGTTGATGGAGATGCCCTCTTTTGCTCGGTCTCCTGTGGCTCCGGTTCTTTTCAATCTCTCTGAGCCGGCCAGATCCACAAAGTGGAACTTGGCGGTCAGCGTTTCAAACTCATTTATCTCTGAATCACTAGCCAGCCGGTTATCGGTGACATTATCCTGGATGGGAAGGAGAGACATGAGCCACACTCAAGGAATCAGTTTAAGGCTTATCATGACCGGTGGGGCAGTTGTTGGCTGTAGTCTCGTGTGGTACCTACATTGTTATCAGTAGAGCAGACTCGCACTTGGCAGAGGTGGATGGTGAAGATGGCGTGGGAGCGCGAACTCTGGACATTCATCTGGGTGCTGGCTGTGGTGCGAGACAAGGCGCCCAGCTTCAGGCACTGCATCATCTGTTAGTTTGAAGGGCGAAGCGATGTAAATGTGAATATTTGCTTGTGAGTTCAGCACAAAAAAATGTTTTTATCACACAGTAAGAAACAGGGGTATCATCAGCGTATAAGGATTTTCAAAAGCAGGTTTAAAGGTTATCTTAGTTCAAAAACATCCAAATATATATATTTTTTTAAACAAAGGCATCAGTGGTGCCCTTCAGAAAAGGAATTCCACTATTTGAGATGCATCACAGGCCCTAATCAATAATGTTTTATAATTAGCATCACCTCAAAATGAAATACGGTTAAAGTATATAGAGCTTATTAAACAGTAATTAATTACTACCCTTCTCTTGTTTATATTTAAAACATTTTTCCTCCATCCTTTGCACCATGGTTGGGTTGTATATACGAGCATCTAGTGGCTCTTATGGAGACTGGGTGACCATAAATGCCTCCCTTTACTGCAGTTCTCACTTCAGAGACTTTTTTAACGGGTGTACGGTGCCAAAGATAAACATGGATGCTTGACCTTCCTGGTTTTCTTACAGTACTTTACTTTTATTTAAGTAATAAAATAAAATGAAGGCATATGTTGTGAAATTAAACTTTGCTTATATAAGCAGATTTCAACATATAAGGTCAAGAAGCATCTTCTGGCATATTTTATGGTCTTTTGCCCTTTTAAGAGTGGCTAAAGGACAAACCCTTCTGTATTTTCATGTTTATACTCCCTAGAGTTTGAAACTTAATTATCCCTGAGTGAATGTTGTACTTAAAAACAGTAAAACATGTTTTTAAACATATATTTAGTTCAGTTTAACAGGGGAGCAGTAAATGTCGATTAGCACTAAGCAGTAGTTTTCCAGTGCAGTAGTGTGGCGTCTGCTTAAAGCTGACCTCAGCAGCCGAGGTGACGGTACGGGTGGTGACCCCCACGGTGTAGATGCCCCCATTGGCGTCCTCATGGATTTTGATGTTGGACCTCTGCCTCCTGGCCTCCAGGTCTCGGGTCGTGTCAAACAAATCCAGAACCTCTTCGTTGTACAGCTAGAAGGCAGGTTAAAGAGACGGAGAAAACAATCAAAGGAAGCGAAAAATAAAAGAAAACGGCCAAAACAGACAAATGATTAGTCATCTTCTACATTCAGCTGTTTCCTCAGCAGCTGTCAGCAGCCACTTGGTGTCAGTTAAAAATAAAGAAAGAGGTTGACCTCAGAGACAACTAATGACAGTTTAATGGTGCTGGGGTCATCTGGGCACTTTAACAACCCACGGTAGACCTTTGACCTCTGGCTGTCAGCATGTTCTTTCTTTCTCTACCTAATTGAAGGTAAACAGTTTCAGCTCAGTGGGTTCAGAGCTCAAAAGTCGCTCTACAAATTGTTTTAATTTGGCTGTGTTCAAATGTGTCAGTTTTAATCTGATCAAGCAGGTCTGCTTTGATCTCTGTAAGTGGTTCTGTACCTCCAGGAACTGCACGTTGATCTTGAACTCAGGGACAGGCCTGCCCTGCTCGGTGGCAGCCTGTCTGCGCTCCTCGATCCCCCTGAACAGGTGGTGGACGGCCCGGGGAATGATGCCCTGCTCTTCGTCTCCGATGTTGACATCGAAGCCGGTTCCCATGGTGTACGTCTTACCTGAACCGGTCTGGATACAGGAGGAAAGAACTTCTAAGTTGCCTCTTTTACAACATATATTTTTTTGTATTTGAACAACAAAACAGGAAAGGTCAAGATGAAGTCATTTTGTGACTTGGGCCTCTTTTTACAGTTGTTGGCAAAAAAGGGATACAAGAGGGGGGGGGATTTCCATGGGGACCAGAGAAAGAATGCAACTTTGGGTATAAAATCATCCTGCCCCTCCTCCTGAAAACCTTTAGAAAGAAAAAAAAACCTTGGCAGGGAGGGTTTACGGCTTTATCAAGTGTCGGTTTGAGTTTAAAGTGTGCATACAAGAACAAAAATCATCAGCTTGATTCTTAAAAAACCACACCCACGTCACTTATTCTTCTCTTTTGCTCCCTGAGTGCACAAAGTCAGGAACTGATGGGAACATAAAACAGCTGCAGCATCAATATAAAGAGAAGAAGAAACCAATACAGACATGATTCAATATACTCAAATAAAGCTCAATTTCTTTGATGTAGACATCACATTTATCACCACTAGTACTGATATGTCCAGGTCCAAATATCCCATTACATTTTTAAATTGCATATAAACAAAATTCCTATAAGTTTGTACTGTTGAAATTATTTATTATTTATGTGCATTTGTTAAACCCTAATTTTACCTGCCTGTTACATGTTAAGGCTGACGTTTTCCCAAGCAGTGTATCTAATTAGGACAGTTCGTCTGTCAGGATAAAAAGTAATTATCTTCGTTATGTACATAACAAGTTTTGGGAATAAAATGGGAGCAAACAGGGTGGATTATTCTTAAGAGAGAGCTCTGTCACTGTGCATTCAGATTGTCCTTGATCAAGAACACTTAGGCTACGTTCATGACAGTCTGAACAACACAGGTCTGATTTTTCCCAATGCGAAAAAGACCAATTGGCTATGCAGTCCTGAATCCGATATGAGTCTGATCTTTTTAAATGCCGCCTGTGTCTGAATGGCCAGGTCGCATTCAACCGACCTGAACGCCATTAATACTCAAAGCTATTCTGCGTCTTGCTGTGCAGAAGTAGGAAGAAAAACAACAACTATGGTGGACGATAATGTGGAGAGCAGTGGCTGAGGTTAATAAATAACCGAAAGATTGCAAGATGCCCTCCTGCACTACCATCCATGTTTACTTCCATAAAAACAGACCATGCTCGCTTGTGATGTCATTGCATCCTCAACACTTAAGTTGTGTGAATGGAGTTCCCACAGGAGATCACATAAGAGTCGCATGTATTTAGAAATGTGAACAAGCATGCAAAAGAATTGGATTTCACACACACAAAACAATCAGAACTGAGCATTAAGGCCTGCAGTTGCCATTTGTAACCTGAGCCATTTCTGCTCTGAGTAAGATTACAATTTCTGTCTAATCTGTTGTCATGTCTCATAGTCATATAATACATATACATTATTAAGTGTTATTTTAAGTGATTTCTTCTCAGGAAAGAATCCAGGAGAGAAAGCTTTAATACGTAAATACAAAAGGCTTTTCCTACAGTTCAGTGTTTTAAGAAAATTTCTTTTACTTCAAGTTTTTTTTTTATTTACACAGTCGAATATTTAGCGGCAAATGTTTCTAGATATGCTATATAAATAAATCCTATTTGATTGGATTTTGAATGATTTGTAGGTATTTCTATATTAATGAGGCCTTAAATGTTGCATCTGTAAAAGGAAGGAAGAAGGAGGCTGATTGAAAGATGTCTAACTTTAATCATAAAGCATTACTATCAGAAATAACCTGTGCTTAGATATTTATCTAATTAAATCAAGACAAAACAAAAAGCAAAGAGAGAAAAAGGGCACATTAATATATACTCAATAAACTGGTACATGTCAGATGTTAGTCACTATTAAAGAAAACTTTGGAAGAAAAAAAACATGTAAATCAGGCACATATTACTTTAACCCTTAAAACTAATGCTTTGGAATTCCCTTGCTGTAGCTCCACTAAAGCTATAATAGCTTTCAGTACCAACCATTGCAGCAAGCCCATTGATTGTTGGGTCCCCCAACTTTAAAAAAATGCTAATTTGTTGAAATATTATCTTATTGGCTACACAGTGAAGCATTGAATAGCACTGCTGCCTTGCAGAAAGAAGGTTCATGGTTTGATTCCCAACCCACAGGCTTTCTGCATGGAGCTTGCATGTGCTTCCTGTGCATGCAGAGGTTCTCTCCTGGTACTCTGACTTCCTCCTAGAGTCCAAAAACATGACTGTTATGTTCACTGGCCTTTCTGAATTGTCCTTAAGTCAGAGTGTGTGCGTTAATAGTTGTTTGTCCTGTGTACCCTGCCTCTTGTCAATGACAGCTGGAGATAGGAGCCAGCACCCCTCGCGACCCCAGCAGGGATAAGAGCGACAGAAAATGGATTGATGGGTGGATATTCTGTCATTCTAAATTTGGTTCCCAATTTACTAATGTGTCCTGGGAGTGAGAAGTGGGTACACAGGCTGACGATTCTGCCTGGGTGGAGAGACTCAGTAGAAAATGGTCCTGTTCTAAAAATGTGACACATAATTTAATTCAATTCAAGGTAATACACAGACTTCATTACACAAAATTCACCCAACAATTCCTCCTTCATGTTATCAATTTAAGTCTGCTGATGTCTCTCTGGCCCATCTTCTCTAGACATCTCCAAAGCTGTATAATTTTTGGTTACATATTTAATCGGTTTTCAGAAATCAATGTCTCTCAATTTAAGCCAGATCCCAATATTGCTCTGCTTGGATAATCTGTCTCTTGCTAAATGTAGTCCTTCAGAGCAAAGCTATTTTAATTATGGAATGATAATCACTAAAATGCTGATTTTAAGGTTACAGAAAGCAGAAGCTGTGCTTATATTCAAGGAATGTTTCTAAGAAGTGATAAGGTCACCACATATGGAGAGACTCAGATAAATGTTAGTTATACCCAACTCCTTTTTCAATAACTGAACAAGCCCAGCCCAATTCAGTATATATATAATCAGCAAGTATTTTTTTAAAATCTTGTTTAATGCAATTTTATCATTTTTATTTTTTTGCATTTGTGTTATATGTGTGGAGTTTATTGAACAAATCCTGAAAATCTAAATAAAAAGAAGAAAAAAAATAAAATTGATAAAAATGAGACAAAAAATTGACATATGCCCCTGTTGCAGTAGTTGCAGTAGCTAAAGATACGATAGTTTTTGGGGAAAAAACAAGCAACAACAAAAAAAACAATCAGAGAGCTGTACAGGGACAGGTTGCTGCAGCAGATGTTTAATGTCTCCAGGATATGGTTTACTTTTGTGCTTGGGTATGAGATAAGGTTGTTCATATTTTGCTTTGATTGGGTAATAAACTCTCCCTGTAAGGCTAATCTAAGTCAGCCGATATTAAGCTGTGGTGTTGAGAGCAGGTTAAAACATGTCAGCTGCCCCGACAGAGCTGGTGAGGCATAAAATCAGCTTCATGTCCTACACTGCCAAAAATCTGGATTCTTGAAGTGGCTCCATTACCTTGAGCGATACTAAGAAATCGTTAGACAGTAAAGGCATGAATTTGTGCATGAATTATTCCCATTGAAATGCAAGCAGGCATGCCCAACCAGGAGAAGCGAGTTGACCAACCTGTCCATATGCAAAGATGGTGGCGTTGTAGCCTTCAAGGCACCCCTCAATGAGTCTCTCTGTACAGTGGGTGTAGATAGCTTCCTGCTGAGTGTCCATGTCAAAAACATGATCAAAGGTGAAGGCCTTGTCCTTGCCGAGGACCACTTGCGGTTCTCCGGGCATCACATATGTGCATATGTGACAGCCTTCGATCTTTTCTTTAGCCAACTGAGGACGGATCCTACAAAAGACAGAGACACAACAATAATTTAATAACAAGGGCATGAAATTTCAATATGAACATTTCCCCATACATTTTCTTTTAGCTTCAAACTGACACTTCAAAATAAGGTACCGGTATAAATGGTACCGTGCAGTAAACTATATTTTCTCAGCTTTGAATGCTGATTAAATTACTTAGAAATTGTACTATTATGACATAGGTATAAACTAGCCAGCTGTCCAGGGTAATGCCCAAACTCTCCTGATTTATCCACGCATTTAGCTTCAGTAACGACACTGCTGACTTACAACTTCCAATAAAACAGAAAATAAGATAATTTCGGTTCCATATATGTGTTAAACTGTTGAAAAGGAGGTTTAAACATTTATAAATATATAGCATTTCAATGGAAAGACAATTCAAAGTGTTGTAGATGAGAAAATGAATACAATGTAGTGGCAAATAGGCAACACAAATAGGTAAAGAAAGTATAAAATGATGTTAGACTCGTAGTTTTTTGGACTGCCATGTTTGGTTGAGGTTCTGGTTGTGCAGAATAGGTTAGACCAGGGGTGGGCAAACTTTTTGACTTGCGGGCCAGAATGGGTTCTAAAATTTGACAGAAGGGCCGGGCCAGGAGCATTTGGACAAGCAATGTCATTAATTAAACCTGGGGATTGAAATGTATAAAAAAACAGACAATTTTGACGACCATAAGGCGCACCGTACTAAAAGGCGCAGTCTCAGTTATGTGTCCCAATTCTGTATTTAACACACACATAAGGCGCACTGGACTATAGGGTTTTCTTATATACAGGTAAATGTCCTCTACTACGTTTAAATACCTCTACTGCATATTTAAAAATAGAGCGGGAGCAAAACTGAGTATGACTGTGCTTTATTCATTTATTTATTACAAAGTATTAATCAAACCTGGGAGCTGGCCGTGAGACAGACACATCGCTGATGACACAGCGCTGTGATCACTCCTAAATTAACTTAAAATCCTGAAACCTGCCGACGGAATATGTTCGCTTTTATTACCGGTATCCTGGTGCCTGCAGTTTGAATTATTTAGATGAAAAACACCTGCCAGCCACCGCGTGAACCCGGAGGCTGCCCAGCCTAGAGGCTGCTGTTGAAGGGATTCCTACTGTCGGCGCACCGCTGGTATGTGGGGGTCTGAGCGCCTCCGACAGAAATAGATAATCTGGATGAACGGACTGCAATTATTAAGTTTTCAGGTGGACTTTCTCACTTAAAAACATATTAAAACTACTTTATTCCCACTGATCACATCAAATATAGCTGCAAGATTTAGATTATTTAGATGAAAAAACACCTGCCAGCCAACGCGGTATACGCGGAGGAGACCCGGCCCAGAGGTTGCTGTTGAATTAAGTTTTCAGGTAGAAAAATAGAGCGAGAGCAAAACTGAGTATGATTGTGCTTTATTCATGTATTTATTACAAAGTATTAATCAAACCCATCAAAGTCATCATCCTCTGTTTCTGAATTAAACAGCTGCACTAAATCAGACATGCCAATTTCCCCTTCTTCGCTGTCAGAGTCACTTTCCGTGCAGCGCGGCTCCTCAGAAATAATGCCGGCTTTTGCGAAAGCTTGAACAACAGAGCCAGCAGACACGTTAGCCCAAGCATCTACAATCCATCCGCAAACTGTGGCGTAACTTGCGCGGCGCTGCCTTCCACTTTTCGTGAAACTGTGGTCTCCATCGGTCATCCATCGCTCCCACGCAGCTCGCAGCCTTACTTTGAACGGCCGGTGTATACCGATGTCGAGCGGTTGAAGTTCCTTTGTCAGACCTCCCGGGATAACGGCAAGCACAGCGTTCATTCAGTCACAGATTAACAGCGTTGGTGATGCGTGGAAAAAACCACCTGGTCTCCTCACATACACCTGCCTCAGCCACGCTTTCATCATCTCCTCATCCATCCAGCCTTTTTCATTTGCTGTAATATCATTTGTCATCAGAGCGCTGTGTCTGTCTCGCTGTCAGCTCCCAGATCAGCTTCTCTGATTGGTTGATGCGGCGCGTCCAGCAGCAAAACTTCAATTTTTCCATCTCGAGCAGCAGCAGCAGCGCGTTTCCGGCGCGTCAGATAAACGCTCCCGACGCGCTGCGCCTGCTGCTCAAAACGCGCTGCGGGACCTTTTGCTGCACCTATACGCGCGTCAACCATTGACTTTGCATGTAAACTCGCTGCTTCTGCTGCGCCTGCTGCGTCCGTTCTAATTTTGCAGCCTCATTCTCATTTTCACCATTACAACAGTTTTATACATCAGGCCTGGTTGACACTAACTTAGCTGGTCCCTGGAGCTTGAGTTGGATCATCACCAAACTGGATGGCAAGAACTGTGAGCCATCTAGAAGCGCTAAGATTATCTCTGGCAACCTTAGAGACGAGTAGGAGGAGTTGTAACCAGGTGTGTACCGCGCATATGTAGTTATAGATGTGACGGCATGCACCAAGCTGATACGTTTTGAGATGGAGAAGAGAGAAAGAGGAGGAAATCCGTCTGGATTAACAAAGATCCTGCTAAAGAAACTCTAAATTTATTTATTTTTTTTGGAGGGAAACTATAGTCCAGTACTGGAAAGTAACAATGAAGGCCTGCAATATAGGTTTAATTTGGGGTTTGACAGCATTACAACTGAATAATTATTTAAGAAAAGAAAACTGAAACTGATTGCTGTTTGAAATCTGTTGATGTGATTTTTTTTTTTTTTTATTGTGCAGGAAAAGCACACAATTAGAGACAATTAGTAGTCTATTTTACAGTGAAAACTAGGAAGAGGACTTTTTATTTTATTTTATCTATTTCATCTTCTCTATGATTGAGTATTTGCCTCGTCAATCACACATCAGTGTTTGGAGATTAAGCTTAATGTTTTGCAGAGATCAAAACATAATAATTCATGATTTTAATTAAACCTAATATGATTTAAAAAAACACCCAAAGGCCACTTAATTAATCTAAGAGTAAAAAGGGACGCATCAATAAAAAAACAAACAAACGTCATTTACTGTTAGCACCAAACGACAACATTGATGAGGTTTCTGATTTTTAAGAAAATTAAATAAACTAATTTAAATGTTAACATGTTATCTTTGTACACTATTTCAGAGAATATATGATTAACAAATACATTATTTCAGTGCGTCAATGACTACTTTAAAATGAAGATCTACTTGGAGATTTTCACATTTTTAGGTAATACTGCTCAGGCATGGTCTTTGCCTTTAACAAGGTTAAACTAAGACATGTTTAGCATAATGGATGAATAAAAAGAAATGATGAGAGTGAAGTTAAAAATGTACGTATTGACAAGTGGGGAGGACTTCACATCGAGTGGCAAGGGAGAAGAGGATTGCTACTGTGTTATGTGTGTGTTTATACATGTGGAAAACCCTGCAGTGCCAGCACACTCCCACACACAGAGCGCCCAGTGTTCAGTACTGAGGGAGTGCTAGAAGAGAGCTCTGAGCAAACAGTCCCGCCCAGGATTTCATTAAGGAATTGCTCTGTTTGCTTTTATTCCCAATTTAAAAAAACATACATATAACTTTCCAATATTAGATCCTCAAAAACCTTTCAAAACTAAACATCTTTTAGGAAATTAGAACCTATCTAGGTGTGTTTTAAGCTTTAAAATCTACAAATTAAATGGAATTATCAATCAAAAGCAAGGCGGAAATGAAAGCCATGTTTTTCTAATAAACTATTTAAAAAAATAGTTGAAAAAACAGGGAAATCTACTCAAAACACACGCAGGCACCTGGGAACCTCTGTTAAATGACTGCTATTGTGTCTGAACTGGTAGGCTTGGGTGTGGGTGAGATAGAGAGAGGAGGAAAACAAGGTGGGGGGTGATGTATGTACAGTACTTGTGTGTACTGTACACTTGTGTGTGTTTACATTAAAAAGGAGACCCAGTCTTCCCACTATGAGGCTGTGGAAGTAAAAGGAAGCATAAAATTCCCTGTTATTCTAAGTGAATGTGTGTTTGTGGGGATGGAGGGTAGAAGCAAATACCCGACAGCGAAGAATAAAAGCAACGACCCACATAAAGGTCACTGTCTGTGCTTTCAGAACAAACTCGGATTACAGTGGTGATGACAACAGAGGATCCAGCCAGAACACTGGTCTGTATTGTTCTATTTAAATCAATCTTTTGAGTTTTTAAACTTAAACGCTATTATGAGACAGAGGAGTGAGGATGGACTCAGCTCAAAGGAAGGCCACATACAATAAGACAAGGCTGCATTTGATCAACACTTAAGGAAAGCATTCACAATATGCTTTATATTTCTACCACATTTGATATTTGTGTAATTTGCAGTTGGTCTAAATGCTAAACAAGCAAAGAAAAATCTGTTTCTTTGAGTTTTCAATACTTGAAACCTGTGGAGCATTATCAAGCTGCCCCCTGACACGATGACACCCTGGGTGTTGAGTCATATAACCACCATCTAAAACTTTTCTTGGAAAATTTTCATTATTTTTTAGTTTATGTAGATTTTTTTTTTATTAAACATTTTATTTCATCAGTTCTCAGTCCCTGCAGCTTAGATTAATACATGGATAAAAAAACATAAGCTTAAAAGTAGCATAGGAAAAATATTTTAATGCCTAACATAGATTTTATGCTTGACTAGACCAAGTTGTGTTTTACACGTTAGCTGATAATTTATGTCATTTTAAGTAATAATATATTTTGCCACTCCCAACATACAATACATTTTTGTGGTTTAAAGTGCGGTAGACTCTATATGTCCTGTTTTTCTTTTTTTAACTAACACCTCAGATTACAGACAAACCTGTATAAAAGAGCCCATTAAGCCATTGATGGTAGTGCCCTAGCCACAGGGCTCGGCTGATGTGAGGAGTCTGTGATTTAGTTGGATGATTTAAAGCATTACAGGATTGAATGCACAATAATCTCTTTTGGCCACCGTCCCAAAAAAAAAAAAAAAGTCTTAAAAGTGAGCATC